AGGGGGGGGGGGGGGGGGGGGGGGGGGGGGGGGATGAGAGGCGTACTAAAGGTATATGGCTTTAAGAAGCACAACCCCACTTTGCAGCTGTGAGTAATTTAACAAAACAAAATTCCAAGCCAGAGAAAGAGCACAGAAGACTGAATGAAGTAAATAAAATGCTCCATGCTCCTGTACCCCCAATAACCCTGCACAGACATTCTCTCTGTCTCTCTCTCTCTGTGGATTCGTGTCGGATATTCAACTTAAACCACTCCCATTTTACACTGTATGAAAAAGTAATATCCTCCCCAATAAAGTTTGATTTACACCTCCCTCACACCCCCCACACTCCTGTTTTTTATTTCATCATTTAACAGGGATCGTATAGCTGTATGTCACTGGAAAATTAAATCAGGTCCCGTGCACATTAAGGTGGATTCTTTCTGGCTCGAATCCCCCCCCCCTTCCGCCACCCAGCGTCCCGCGCCGGACGAGGGCACCATCCCATTCATTTTCAGGCCCATTTCCTCCAGTGATTAGGTGATCAATCAATCCCAGCCTTCAATCCCGTCAGGCGGACAGGATTATCTGCCCATCTCCCTTCATCCCTCCCTCCTTCACTCGCCCACCGCCGCCACATTAGCATCAGATCAAGTGTCACAGTTTGCACACACAGCGCCAAAAGTGTGCAGCTTCTCGCCCCATGCCCCCTCACCGACCCACCTGAACCTCGAACCCCCCACGGATCAGCAGCGATACCATAAGTCAGCCTCGATGCTAGCTGAGATGAGGCCCGGTACTTTAATCGCCAGTAATGCACCATTTCCAGAACTCTCATTTTAATTATGCCCTTTATTACCGCTGCCCTTCCAGAGGACCAAATTAATGAATGAATGATGTCATTCACCGCACTACGGTCCAAATGACACACCGACACGTACACACACATACTCATGCTGTTTCTCCTTGTGGTTTCTGGCCTCCTCATGGCAGCCCAGAGTGTATAAATTGAACTCAGTGCACTAAAGAGACTTCCACCAATAAACGAGCAGCGGTCGAGGCACTCGGCGGGGTGGAACACAGGGCAACTGTTTTATAGCTCTGGACCCGAACCGTCCTTGTATATGCATCCTAATTGGCAAGTAAACTACTACTTATAAACACTAGAACGCCATTAAACCGGGTCCGATCGCGTCCATCCCTTGGCGTTTACAGCGTAGGGGCAAAACAGCCCTGACGAGGGGGAGGACAGCCCCCCACGCTCCCACGGACAGCCCCATACCTCATTAAATCCACACAAAGCCCCACAACTGGAATGCTACAGGGTATCCAAAATATTTTATGATTATCAGTTTTTTTGCGTGAAGCATTTTTAAAGGAACTCTAATATTTCAGGCAAAATTATTGACTCGCTTTTAATATGAAAAACACTCAAAGGAAGTCATATGTCGCTGGTGTATAATACTAAGTGAGTTTCCTCACCTTCCTCACCATGTGGATGACAGCATTGTCGCAGAAAAGATAGCTGACAGTCTCTCTGAGGTCCACCATCAGGGTTCAGGGAAATGCCCATAAAACAAGCAAGCTTAGCTCTACATCACAGGCCATAGTACTCACTCAGCGGGGCCAAGCTGAAGCCGTACTTTACCTGACAGATACTGCCAAGCTTTAAAGACCCTGGCGTGAATATTCTTTTTATTAAGCAGTGACTAAAATAGCTCAACCTTAATTGTAAAGAGGAAACACAAGTAAATTAATAATAGATGTACATGCTCTGAGCACATACTTATAAAAGAAATCCCCTTTATGTCATAACAGATATCTTATTTTACTTTTATAGATGAATATGGGCCAACACAAAGCTTTTTGAGGTATGTATAGATATCCGCTGAAGGACTCTTAATGAGACAGGTGAAAAGAAAATAAAGCAAAAAGCTTTTTGATGTAAAGCCACTAATTCTTTTAACAACATTGATCAAACTGTCATGCTTTCATTATGGTACAATAGCTTTTAGGAGCCATTCTCTGGGTTAATAGCATTGAAACTGTCCCCAGTACAGCTTATGGGCCGGAAGCAGGGTGGAGGAGTGAAAGGCCTCTCTTGTTCCTGTGGCAAGAGCACTCAGCTACCTTTGAACAAAAATTACATTTCCATTCTGCATATTTTTTTCCCATCTGGCCATTTCCTATTTTGAGAAACTTTGCCAGGTGGCGTGTTACCTGGTAACCTGCAGTAACCCACAGTAACCCGGTGACTGCCACTAAGAACTCCACACCAGTGGGGTGCTTGTTACAGAAAGCCAAAAGGAGTCACCACAGCTGAAGAACTACGCTGATGAAGATGTTCTTCTATGCAGGGGTGCCATAAAGCCAGGAACATTAGGATGATTACATGACCCTTGAGAGACAGTGGCCCTAAAAAATTTGGCACATAACTGGATTGGTCTGGATTGGGGGCCCAATATGATATGCTGTCATGGGGCCCAAAATCTCCAGCAGCACCTCTGCTTCAATGTACTAACCCATTTTGACTCTCTCTTTTGATTGAGCCATGCTACATGCAAACTCCCAGAAGCAAATAGTTTAACAAAATCTTCCGAAACCATTCTCACTGGCCTGCCAAGTAAGTCTCTCCTTCTTGCTCATCTGATAGGTCAGTATATCCAGGATATGACAGTGCAAAATCTCTGAGGCTGAGATTATTGCTTTTTCCAAGGTCCCAGATCTGCATCCAAAAAACATGAATGCAGAATAACTTAAAGCAAGCTCACAATTCCTGATGTCACCATATGTAGTTCCTAACTGTGTCATGCATTTTAATTGTTTTTCTAATTCTCTGAATCAACTAATGCTAACAATACACTATAAGACTTTTAATAGATTCCAAGAAGACTTTTTAAAGACTAAATCTGACACTCTCACATCTAAAGACAATGTGTTATTAGTCACAGACTATGATTTTACAAAGACTGTGGATCTTTAAGTGTCACTATTTGGTACTGGAGAGAGCTCACCTATTGGTTGTTGACAGTGTGAATGTCACTATTTGCATGAGCTAAGACTAAAGCTCTATGATAACATTAAATACGGTTAATTTTAATGTTATCAAAGATGAGAAAAAGACTGACTTAAGACGGCTATCCTGACCACCTTACCTCAAATGATTAAGATGACGGGAGCTTGCCACAACTCAAACTCTCATGATTTTATTCTGACATTGGAAATTTGTCTGCGATAGTGAAATCGCTTGTAAAGTCGTTTGGTGTAAGGCCAGCATTACTGAACCTTGCTCCAACTACACTGTTAAATACGAAACAATTTCCCCTGGGATCAATAAAGTATATCTTATCTTATTATCTTGCAAACAGAATGACTCCATAAAATGAAATAAACTCGAATTTCTCTGTAAGAACAAAGAAGTAAAGGAATACAAGACAGGCAGACAGAGAAAGCTCCTGATGCTTAAATGAATGGTTCAGCTATTCATTTAAAGAGATAATAAAACACTGAAAAGGTTGCAGCATTTTTGTTTAGGGACAGAAGTAACAGTGCAAGGAGACTTGGATAAATAAATTAGGAAAAAAAGAAAGAATATCACCATTCAGAGCAACCTTTACTTACCAAATTATCTTTGCAGGTCAGCAGCTCTGTGTAGAGGTTTTTTCCCCTTCTCTCTTACATTAATATTATCCAGATAACATACAGGACTTGACTCTTTTGTATAGAAAATGTTGATTTCACCACTGCAAGTCCTGCCTGAAAACATGTTGGGGTAAGAATTAAAGGAAGATAAAACCATGCCATAATTATAGCATTTTAAGCTATCAACAGGCCCAAGTACTGTTTTAAAAACATAAATTTAGCATTTGATATATAAAAAAAAAAACGCAAAAACACTCACTGGTAGGAAAACATAAAAAGGTCAATAATCAATCAGTTTTGATGCCTTTGGTTCAACTAACCCAAACAGTGCGGATTTCAGAGCCTCATTTGACCCGTAATTAGTGTCAACCACTCACAAGGTAATTTAGTACTTAGTGATAGATTATTGCGAACTAGTCACAAGTATAATTTTGTTCTTATGAACCTGAACTATTTACAGCGATGGGATGTCTAATGTGACTACGCTGCCAGTTGCAAGGAAGTATTACAAATAACACTTTTTTTTATGTCCACGTCAAAATATATTATTCAATGCATTCTCCCATACATCTGTCCAACAGAAGTGTAGTCTGGTGAACTTGTTTGATTAAACTTGCACGCTTATATGTGACATGCACCATTAATTCAACAGGTACAGCGAACAACAAAAAACACTACTCTGGACTTATGCAGTTGATTCTTTTCGAACATGTATCGGCTGGTAAATAGATCATCCCAGCCCTGATCGCCCATTTTCATAAATGCTTTTATGTATTTCTGATACACACTGAAAAGAGGCATGCCAGTGACTCCTGATTGCTAGTATAACCAGTGTCTCTGTCTCCTTTTAAAGCATAACTTTGCATCCGATGGATATAAATAATGAACGACAATGCATGTCTCAATCACAGTGGGGACTTCATGTGTGGGTCCACCACATCGCTATTAGATTACGGTAATGTTATATGGGAAGCCGTAGTGAAAGGATAACGGCCATATTCCTATCAACCGGAAAAACAACAACAAAAACTAGAAAAAGGTAATGCGTTGGACTCTCTACATGGCCATTTCGTAGCAATTTCCCAACATAAACTTGTCTGAAAGCATGAAAGCGCACTAATCATGTCTTTATGAGACCCCCTCCCATATTCATTAAGCTATAAAAATAAAAGTTAGAAACGCCCGACCGAGCCGCAACTTTGCTTGAGTGTGACCACACACTAAGTAACAGGCCAAGAGGTGCGTTGCATGCCTGCTTTATTAGAAACACATGCCATGCTTTACAAGAAAGATCTCCTCCTTCCTCCAACGAGTCTTTCCATTATTAGCGATTTTATGGATCTCGAACCGACTCTAATCCAGAGCAAATAATAACACTATTCCTGTACTAGTCCGATAGCCATCTCACTAACCCTAGGCCGACTCTGCCCCACAAATCAAGGCTCCGATCCTATAAAAACACAGGGCTACCTATATTTTTCAAATTATGTTTGAAGCTGAAATTGTTGCCGTCCACCCCGGTTCCACCGAGATTTGCAGTAGCAGGGCCACTTACGGCCGTGAATTTAAGAGATTAAACCTGGATTTCTCAGCACACTGGAGACTGCTCTATAGCCATGCATAGGCCTACAAGGTAGAAAACCTGCAGTGATGCTGTTCATCTACGTCCATTTATGAAATAATTTAGATAAAACTCTTATAATATCACATAAATCAGCCCAATTGCATTGCCTAAAATAAAACTTTCAGTTTTTTTTACAATTGTATTCTGAGCGTTTAAATTGTCACATGTAGTTTTAAATATGATTTTGTAGATAAAGAAATCGATATTTAGGTTTTTGCTAAAAATAGCCATAAAAACAAAGTGTAGTTCATTCTTATTGATATTTTATTTCTTTTCTACTCTTGGGATGATCAGTGTTTTAAGATGTGTGGATTATGGAGTCATTCCCAACTCAGGCCATAAGCTTACTTTTAAAAACTGCATTTGCCTTAAAGCAAAAAACCTTTAAAACAATTAGCTATCTGCTAAAATTACCCTGGCATGGGCTACATATATTCCAAATGATAAATTAATACACTAATATATATATTTTTGGTCTGTGCTTCAAAGTTATGTTTGTGTAGCTTCATACCTTTATTTTTTTGTTCCATCAACTAAATTTATGGTGGTCACTGCCCAACAAACGACTACTATAAAATGTTGAAATGTTGAAATTTTATCACTTAGCATGCCAGAGTCATGTTTTGCCCATTAAACAGGAACACAAGAATGTACTTTGGCCGCTTCTCAGTTCAGACTGAGACGGGGGATGTCATCACACTCACTAATGCAGTGTGGAAAAATGATCCCTTTGTTAACCCCCATAAGCTAATTTTTTCTGTTGATATTATGCAGGATGTGACTGCAAAGTGCGCGTTCTCACCTTTCATGTGTTGTTAAGCTGCTAGTGCTGCAGCACCTGCACCAATCTTAACCAAGCAAACGGTCAGAGGTGTAAAAATGAATGCGGTAGCAAAATATCTCATCTGTATTTTACTTTGAATATATTCAATATATTAAAACATGCAAGATGTTTCAAAAATATCTGTGTGCATGAGTGTGATCATTTTGAAAAAGGGCTTGTTAATATATATTTGTCTTTCTGGCCATAATGTAATGGTGGTCTGCGGTACTGGAAGAGATTATAGTTGAAAGTTTTTCATTCCAACCATCCATCCATCCATCCATCCATCCATCCATCCATCCTTCCATCCATCCATCCATCCATCCATCCATCCATCTTCGAACCACTTATCCTGGTCAGGGCTACGGGGGTTAAGGGAAGTGCAGAACAAAAATATGTTACATTACTTTAGCTTTTTAAATCTGTGGTTTTGAAGCAAGATATCACACGCATAAACACATATACACACACACTCACACACAGATTAGGTATCTATATCTTTATGGGGACTCCCCATTCCTTTCTATGGGCCTAACCTTAATCCTAATTTTGCATTCATTTGAGCTCATAAATCAAAATTTACAAGTTGCTAGTCTGAAATTTCAGAATTTTAGCAGAATTCAAGATGGCTGAGCCCATTATCAACAGAAGTGAAAGCTGTACTTATATATTGTTTATTAGCACTTATGTCTTATTGTGCTTCATTAAATTGGTCGTACACACAATACAATAATTTGTATGCGCAAAATACCACATAATGCATTGTTATCCCCTGATATTGCTAACAATGGCTAATGATGAACCTGGCTTGAACTGGGCCCTGTTTCAGAAAGCAGGAGTTCTTGCTTTGCCGGATAACTTGTCGGGTTTAAGGTAGTCTGGGCTAAATGTAAGTAAATGAAAATAAAGGCCATTTGAACTGGGATACCTTTAATCCAACAAGTTGTGCAGCTAATCAAGAAATCCTGCTTTTCGAAGCAGGTCTCTGGTATTGCTAAATTCCTTCTAACTTGTACTGGAATGTGATTAACTTGAGTGTGATGTCATTCCCAGCTACGACTTTCGAGGTAAATGGAATGCAGCATTCCTAAAAAACTCTAACTCTTACCCAGTCCTAGCCTTAACCATAAGTAACTAAACAAAATACAAGACTTTTTATTTTAGTTTTTTGATTGCATTCACAAATTTTTATAAAATTGAGTTTCCATTGTGGAGACAAAAAAATGTCCCCACAAGGTACAACATGTCAAGGTTTCACTACATTGTGGGGACATTTGGTCCCCACGATGTAGTGTATACAAACAGACACAGACACAGACACAGAGTAAAATGTACCTGCAGTCCCATGAGAATGTACCCAGACTATGCCAGAAATATTTACTGGAGGAAGATAACTATGTATCACCAGAGAGTATGGCGTGTCACCATAGGTCAGAGCAGATGAAAAACACATCTGTCCATTTATCCTGCCAGAGCAACCGAGGGACCCGAAGCCTATCCCAGGCAGCACAGGGTGCAGGGCAGAGGTACGCCCTGGAATGGATGCCAGTCCATCACAGGGCACGCACACAAGTGGGAAATTTAGAAATGCCAATTAAACTAATTGGATGAGACACATGGAGAACATGCATCTTTCACTCACAGAGGTGAGATTTAAACCCCCAGCCCTGGAGGGTTGAGGTATCAGTGCTATTTACTACGTCACCCATGAAAGATGCCAAATGTTTACATTTTTAATAACATCCTTAGATTAGAACTAATGTAGTTGTATGTAAAACAAAATGTATATAAAGAATCTTTTAAAATGTTTGTTGGTGCATGGTGTGAGACTAAATGCATTATTTTTTTTCTCTTTGTGCATAATAGACTCATGATGGTTCAATTAATTTTTAGATAAAGCTTGGTAATGTTAATTTAAGGCACCTTATCTAGGATGATTTACTCCCTCCTGAGAATTTACAACCTTCTCAGGAGATGTTAAGTCCCAGCAGTTTGACTGTAGGATGAATCCTGTGAAAGCTCTAAGGTGTAATTTTTCCTACATTACTTTCATTATTTGCTGGGCTGATACGCCAATCATTACCGCGTCTTTACATTTCGCCACGGAATTCGAAACATCAGTCTTTCGGTTACCAGGCAGCTTCCTAAACAACTAGACCATTTGTGCATTAAAAAAAGAAGAAAAACTTAAGTTAAGGGTCTCTTACATCCCTCCCATTCCGAGAAGAAAAAAAATGCAGAAACCACATCATGTTCATCTGGACGTAAACATAAAGCTTTGGATACAGAGTCTGTGATGTATCTTACTTCTCTTTGCGGCATGGACTGCGTCTGATGGAGCTGTGCTCAAATAGGGGAAAATGACATTTTATCACACTAGATTGAAAATGTACACCGGCTTCGCTGTTCGCATTAAGATATTTTGCATGCATGCACAGTGGTTGCATCTGCGGAGGCTTTTCCCCCGCAAATATCGTTCTGCCCCGAAATGGAATATGTAATGGTCCTTTGTTTTATGAGGTATAGAAAATAATGGGTGGCATGAATACGTTGATGGTGTTTTATGCCGGTTCTCTCTGCTCAGTTGGCTTGGAATGAGCTCATGTTGAGAATCATAAGGCACAGCGAGTAGAACGCTGCATGATTGCTATATTACTAGATTATTGACTTGAAAATTGCCTCCCCTTCATTCCTGTTTATTATGAATGTGTTTGTTTCCTCCTTTAAACTCCCCAGTCTAAAATGGCAATTAAGGTATATGATGAATAAGAGATAGTGAAACTGATTGCTAACAGTATTATTTCTTATAATATGTGTGAACCGTAGAGCCTGGCAACCTCATAAACATTTATAAGATCCAGCACCTCAACGGGGACTCGACAAATTATTAAAATCTGCTTGCCCAAGGAAAACATTCTTTTTTTTCTCCAGAACACAATAATTGCATGGCTGCAGGATCTTGCTGTAGCCGAACGCCGGGCTGCACGAGCTCACGTCGCGATCCTCTGAAATGAATATTGCTAAATGCCGCCCTTTCCTAATCTTCCAGAAGCATCTTAAGGAAAGCCCACCTCTCACCTTGCCTGCTAAGCCATTCGCATCAGTCGTTTTCCGTATCGCACACCCATCTGATACCTTTTTTTCCGCTCAATATCGGCACCTTTCGCAACGACACTATGTGCGTGTGCCGTTTTTTAAAGCGTAAACATATAATTTCATGAGGGGCTGACTTGGTTCTCGGGTGATATATTCATGTTTCATTTCATGCTCACGGACTAGAATGTGCGATTCCGTAATTGCCTGCAGAAGATTAAGCTCGGAAGCTTCCTTATCTGGCTACATCGGTCAATTCATTTGCAAGATTTTTCCGAATAGGAAAACTGTGGGCTTCACGGACGTAGAGTCAGTGTAAGCAGTGCATGAACGGTTCTTAAGCCTGCAGTAGCTCGCATGCTGTAATTCTGTTTGCAGATAGGTGAATTGGTTATTCTGTGTGGGTGTGTACCCGGTGATGGACTGCCTCCGTGCTTCCTGGGGACAGGTTCCAGACTCGGTGTGACTCTGTCCTGGGTTAAACAGTTCTTGGAGATGGATGGATGTTACTCTTGGGTGTAATCAGCAATTTCCCATTCTAAACGCACAATTACAACATCTTAATAAAAATATCTTATTTTAGTCAGCACCAAAGAAAGGCTCATGCAGTGCGTAAGAAGTTTCTTAGGACTCCAGCACTGACGTTCGTTCCACGCATGTTTTCACGGACATCTGTTAGTGAGCCAGCTCACAAGGCAGTGCCCGATTTAAATAAGGATGCACTGGAAAAGACGAGGTTTGCACTAACGGGAAATCAGTAAACAGAGCTATGATATTTTATACTCCGTTTTTCGATTAAGGCTGAAGGCTTGAGTGAAGCGTTCAGTTTAATCACCAGATTATGCGAAAACTAATGGGTCCCGGGGCGTCACGCGGGGTTTATCTGGGCGACGCACCCGCGCAGACCCGGCTACTCACTCGGCAACTTCCTGGTTACAAACTACAATTATTAAAATAGATTTCCCATGGTAACTCATTATACCGTCAGCTCGAGCCATTATTCCCAACAGCTTTTAATTCTATTCATGTTGTTTTAAAAATAAGGAGAAATGAACGTGTCCGCGAATTTCACCGGTCTATAACTACACTTGTAGCGAATGGCTTTACCTCTCACTGACCCTCCCCCCATGTCCCGTCCTCCCGCTGCTGCTCCAGTTGTCTTTGTCTGTTTTCCGTTTTTCCTTGCTTTCTAATCCGTCATTTTCTAATCCTTCGGCGTGTTTGGGTCAGGACCACACTGGTGACTGGAAGGCGCGTTCTGCATGGTCGCCCACTAGAATGTCAACGTCTGCTTTTTTGGTAAGCAATCCTTTCCCGCCATTCCTCGTGCAATAAAAATGGCGGCAACGTATTCTTTATGTGAGCGGTTTGTCGTAACTGTCATCCAAGACATCTAAAATACTTAGTGCAGCGCTGCGGGAATAACCAGTAATGATAATAATAAACTTAACTCGTGTAAAAGATGTAAAATCAGACGTAGAAATGAATGCCAGAAAGAAAAAAAAAAGCTGACAATAAAATTGCGGAAAAGCGTTGATTTTTCTGTAAACGTTATTTAACGTGGCTGGAGTGAAAGGCAGTCTTCAGCCCGGACGTGACAAGCCGCATTGTGCGTAGGAACGACGCCCTAAGCAGCCACATGTCTTCTGTCTCTCCGACGACAGACGACGGTGTGAAAACAGTTCGTCAGCCTTTGTTCCTGGGAGAAACCTTTACCAACCGCTCTTTAACTAATTAAAAGATGACAACTGCTGCATTTAAAAGAGCAAAGAAACAAACTACCTGTCAAGGTTGCGCTGGAACGCTGTCAGATTAATTTCCCCTCTTTGTGTGTCTATAAAATTTGAAACTGCGCAGTAAGGTGGGGAAGGCGGGAACGGAGGCGCTGATAAATTAACTTTGGCGGGAGTTAGGTACCTTCGCGGTGCAATGGAGGCATAATGGTACCGAGACGAAAACATGCGCGCGATGACGGCGGTGGGGAAAAGTACCCCGCTGAAATAGTGTAACACCACGCTCCGCCATCGCAATTATAAGAGGTCAGGGTCACTGCAGATGAATATGTATGAACAGAGACAGGCGTAAAATGTAAAAATTGTACAGCCCTGTTCCTGTCACATTGGGAACCCCGATACGGTACTGAGGCTTCTCAGAGTCTCTCTCCCAGGCAAGAGCAAAACTGAATACTAAGAGAAGTAAATATCTAATTGGAGTAAGGAACCCAATACTGAGCTTGAGTACCCAGTAAAGAATAATATAATGTATTATAAAATACTCTAAAAAGTAGGAGTATATTCATCAATCTGGAACAGTCATGGATGAAAAGACAAACCATTGAAAAGGCCTTTTTCAGCTTCCCTTCAGTCTATGCATGGTTGTCACACATATACTGTGAGTGACATTACACTGTCCTTCCCCAAGATTACTGGTTATTTTAATTTTCTGGCCAACTGCTACAAAAAGACATGTGGTTATTTAAACCTCACCCTTATCAAAAACATAAGTCATCCTTACCAACAGCATAATGTGCCCACAGACTTGAAAACCTCACTGTCATCATAAAGCATCTGACTTATTGTTTTTATTCTGATTCCTTACTAAGACTACATTGGCATCAGTCATTTAGGTTCTCTCAAATTTGTTGGTAAATAACCATTATAATCATAAACTCAAACTCAGAAAATCTCCAGTCAGTTTTTAGGTTCTGTTATTGCCCCACTAAGGCCAGTAAACAACATGCTGTCATTATTTGGGAACATTTTCTTGCCACATGCATATCATCTGTATCCTCTGACTTCAGGTTAAGGACCAGTTATTGTTGCAATAGATCCTGATATGGGTAACTCTGGGTCAGTGTTTCCACATGATTTCATGCTTAAGAACCTACCTATTCTGCAGTTGTGGTGGTAGATTGTAGGATAAACTGAGACACAATTCTGCCACCACACACATTTTTTAAAAACAGATTGCTATTCTTGATATGCGATCTTATGCCCTGTGTCCCGCAAAGCTCAGCCCTCTGGTCCTCTGCCACCCCCTTTACACGAAATCACAACAGGGTGCTTTTCGATCTCCAGTACCGATGATACACAACTCCATGTCTCAAAGAGACCGGGTCATCTTTCAAAGATGCTAGTACTAGCCTTAAACACTGTCTGACACAAACAAATAACATTTTTTTCAGAAAGAAAAACAGACACCATGTTTGTAAAGACCATTATGGCAAATGTGTGGAACTGTCCTTTTAGCAGGCAAGGTTTTTAGTTACAGGGTTGACAGACTAGCTGCATGTAATTCTGCTGGACAGGTGACTCTATGAAAATTTCTCTGTCAGACCTCACCTGTTTCCATATTTCATTTTTCCAGAATGCTGGGCTCAAGTGTTACCCGTAACACATGTGTCAATAAACATACTAACTCAGCTCATTAGACTTCTGAATTCTAGCTTTAAACTTCAGGTAAATTTTTGGATTACAGTTACAACTGTGCTATAGGCATTTGTTTATCTAAGATTTTATCCAAGATTTTAATAGGACCAGTTTCACTGACCTGGATGAGGATATATTATTATTAAAGTCATTGATGTCTGGATGGTCTGAAAGGCTCGGTAGCAACTGGAAAATGTGCGTATCTTGTGAGGGGGGGGCATATAAAATTACGACACCCGTGTCCCAGATGACTTTTTACGATTGACACTGGCAGAACCATGCAGACTGGGTGCTGTGACATACATTCTTCAAGCACCATCCAAACACAGCTGTCCAGTCTTTGTCATGAACCTTCACACATGCATACTGACGCATTCTCCACACGCAGTAACAGATAGCAGCGACACAGCTGGGAGCCAGGGAGCAGCAAATGGTCACCGTCTCCAAGGGCAGGGGGTGTAGAGGAGGGGCTCTGAAACTGGCTGTGGACCCATGACATAGACTTATGATGGGCAATAATTGGCAGACCGTGGTGGATGAATGAACTGGGCAAAAAAAACAGGGGGAAAAATCATTATTTATTTGCATTTATATCCAAAGTTGCTTATAGTTTAAGACTCATTTACGTGGCGGAATAATGTTCCATAGCCTGTCAGCAGTTTGTCTGGCTCCTTAACAACTTCGCCCCCTATTGTCTCAACGTGTATAGCTGCCTCGTCCGCCATGACATCCCCCCACTTTTAATTATGTTTCAAGTCGCTGGTGATGGTGGAGGATGGGAAGCGACAGTCACTCTAATATCCGGGGGAGTCCGGCGGGAAGGATCCGCTCCGTTTTAGCGAAAAGAGAGACAGACGACAACAAAGAAAAAGAAAAAACACACACAAACACAAGAGAATGCTTAAAAGTCAGTTATCCACTGACGGCGTGTTAAAAGTGTGCGGGCTCTACGTCCGTCCATCGCCACCCTGCCCACCCTCTTGTCCATTCGGACATTTTGAAGCCGAAATCCGTTTGATTCATTCTCCCGTTTCACCCCCCCCCCCCCACACGTCTCTTTATCTCCCCTCCCCGTTCTCTCTCGCTGTCGTAATGGGATCTGCAGAAATCATTCAAAGCCTAGATGTAATTTACTGCTTGCTTGCCGCGCACAATGCCCCCCCCCCAATCGCACAAGGTGCCCTGCGGATGAACTAATCATACTTGAAATATTATTTCTGCTTCTCATTCCTCCATTTCATGAACAGCCCCAGTTTTATGGTGCAATGGATTTAACCCTCGCCTGACCACAGTCCCACAAATCTCCTTACGGGGGTGGGGTGGGGGGGGGGGGTGCAAGGCTGAGTGACAGCCGCAGTATGGCAGTGGTTAATATTTGTGCGTATGTGATTTTTATTACTTGATGTGTGTTTGCATTAATATCCTCCACTCCACCCCCCATTTTCTCTGCATGACACCCCCATATGGGGATTGATGGGCAGAATGTGGCTGCAAAGTTCCGCAGTCTGGAGCTGAGAGCACCACCCTGGCAGAACTTGACTGAAAGCCGTTAAGCACAGGCTCTGTTTTCTCCCCGCACAATTCTCAGCTGTGAGCTACCAAAATACACCCAAATGCCTCAGACTCTTCGAAAGGCTACCAAGAATGATAATACTATGCTGCAATCACTTATATGCACAACTCATCTGATGCTAGGGGTCAGAACATGATTAATTATAGCAATATTGTACTTGTTTGATGCTGTCAGATGCATCCATCCCTCTGTGCATCCATCTTCTGTGCATCCATCCCTCTGTGCATCCATCCCTCTGTGCATCCATCCCTCTGTGCATCCATCTTCTGTGCATCCATCCCTCTGTGCATCCATCCCTCTGTGCATCCATCCTCTGTGCTGTTTATCCATTTCAGGGTGCCAGTAAACAATTAAATGTGCTGAATGATTCCTTTCCTTATATGCTTGTTTATAATGGCGATTCATTTTGACCAATCTCTGCATTTTAAGAGGTCTTCACATTAGTGGAAGTCTTTTATTTAGCTAAAAAAGAAAATCAGAAGGATGCAATATTCAGACTCTAGGTCTTCTTATTTGGATGTATGGTTTGTACAATTCGGTTAGCAGGAACGGAAGCAGATAGCATGACAGCACTGTATGCAGGAAAGTTACAGGGACTTGTATGTTGCCCTATTGATCTGGCACCATCTCCATTGATCTCGTGTGGGATGGCGGTCATCTCGATCAAAGAATAAGGCTCAACCTGTACAGGACATTGCGTCATCAAGGAGGTCCCTGGGGCCCGTTGTCTAAACCCGGTAAATGGATTAGGAGGGAATTTCCTCTATTATGTAAACTTCATTTGGAGATGTATAAATCAGCATTCTCTTTTACATATATCATGGATTTATGCTGCACTGTCTGGTAAGTGAAGCGCTGTGACTACACTGCCATTTCACCCACAGCTAACAGAGTTGTTTTGTGATTACATCACAGGGGCCACACCAGAGATTTTGGGCCCCATAAAAACATATCTCATTGGACCCTCAAAACAGACCAATGCAATTATGCTCCAAATTCTTTAGGGCCCTTGGAATTGTTGTAAATATCCCCTCTTACAGAGCCCCTGGGCCACACTACAGATCACTATGACTGTAGTGTCTACAGCAACGCCAAGCCTTCGATTCCCCAGGTCAAGATAGTTTCCCTGCATGGGTAGCAGTGAGCCAAGGTCACCACGTCTTTGTTTGAGAAAATTTCACTTTAAGAAAATCCTATGTGCTTTGCCTATTGAAACATGTTTTAAATCTAATCTCCATCGATGACCAGGAACTCCCCTTATACATTTGTTTAATTCAGCAGAGCAGGGGTGCCGTTAGAGATTTTGGGCCCCATATCACATTGGGCCCCCAACCCAGACAAATCCTGTTATCTTCCAAATATTTCTTGTTACTCAGGGGTCCATGGAATCATCCTGAATTCCCCATCTTTATGGCACCCCTGCAGCAGAGTATTGTTATGGAGACTAAAACACTGAGCATCAGTTTGTTTTCTACAGGGACTTGGTTTGTTTTTACCTTACCTTTGCTTTCATGACTTTCCTGAGCTGAAAGTTTGGTAAGGTAAGTAAGGCACTGTGACTACACTCCCATTTTATCCCTGGGAAATGGAGTTGTTTTGTGATTTGTTGTGTTGTTTTATTATTTTTGCTGTGTTGTGATTTGTTTTGTTGTATGATTTGTTTTGTTTTTGTCTTACCTTTGCTTTCATGACTTTTCCGAGCTGGAAGTTGACAAACGTGCCGATGCGTGACAGTCTGGGACAGGGGCACCGCGTGCCTCTGACGTCCCTCTGCTTCCTTCTGCCTCCTTCTGTAGAATCACGCAAGCTGCCACACACTGACACATGTTCATTCAGAAACCTTCATGGAAACAGATACATGATGCGAAGTGATAAAGCCGTAGCAGGTCATTGAAACGCCTCTTTTATCACTCACTTGTAACCTGTTTTGCTATCAGGTTGTGCCCTTAGAACATGGCAATACCCTATCCAAAGCCGGAGGAAGGTCTGACAATGGGCAGGCAAGCTGAAGGGATGCTGGCAGGCAGGATGTCGAGGTCACCAAAGCGAGCTGCTCACCGTCTGGCCGGTGTGGGGCGACTGACAGAGAGTGAGATGCTGATACAGGGGCGGAGGGCGAGTGTGTTTGGGGGGGGGGGGGGGGAAGAGTGGCAGACAGAAAGCAGCTCCTTGCCGCTCGCTTGTAGTTAAGGAGCACATTTACTTCCCATTGATTTCCAATGTTTTAGTCAATTTCCTGTCACTTTTCATTGCAAGTACATGGGATCTCAGTTTAGCTGCTTACAGGAAACCTGAGAAACTACAGGAGGTCTGCAGAAGGTGCCGGAATGTCCCCACACGTCTCCCGTGGCATCCCAGGTGCTATTCCGCAGTGCATAGGAGGATTCTGACCCCCAGTGATGGACGGTCACTGTGTGATACACTGGGGCCCTTGCCACCCCCATTTAGCATTTCACATTGAAAGGCGCTATATTTAATTAGGAATCGGGCAGTGCTGTGATTCTGCTTTTTGAGCTTTTAATTTTGTTTTTTAATTATTTGCAGTTCCCTCTTGCAGCGACATCCTAAGGTGGAAATAAGGGCCTTCTTCCTGCCGTTTTCATAAAGAAAAATCTCCTCCTCTCACAGTACATTAAACCTATCTTATTTTTCTCCCTGTCCCTCTTTTATTGCTTCCAGATGCAGTGGTCCTGTCTCGCGTGCTGGCAGATGTGTTAAATAATGGCCTTTGTTAAGAGTTCTGCTCTGGTTCAAGAGGAAACCATTGCCTAGCTGGGTTCTCTGCAGAAATAAAAGAAAAAACAGAAGAAAGGAATTAGTGCTGCTGCCAAAGTCTTACTCACAATGTTTTTGCCCTTAGTAAAGATTTCTTGGTGCCTCATATGAGCTTTTTCAGACTTTATCACCTTGTTAATTTCTATGCTCGGTTCCATATTCCTCACCCCGCCTCCCATTCATTCTCCCTCTCTCTCTCTCCCTCTCACACACACACAAACACACACACAGGTTTGTAATTATATCAATGTGGGGACTCTCCATTCATTTCTATAGGGAAAACTCTAATCGCAACATTACAACCTTAACTCCTACCCAGTCCTAACCTTAACCATAAGCAACCAAACAAAATACGAGACTTTTATAGTTTTTTGATTGCATTCATAGATCTTTGTGGGGACCCACAACATCAGAATAACAGGTTTTTATCACATTGTAGGGGCCATTTTGTCCCCACAATGTAATATAAACATAATACACACACAAACACTGTAACCAGGGATCCACGGCACCCATATGCACACACACATACAGGCGTACACAGGATCCTCAGCTATCTCTGTCTTTCACACACACACACAAACACACATTTCTCGCACTAGCTAACTGCGGATTCAGCAGCCTCCGTCAGCTCAATACACACATATTAAAGGTTCCACTGGTATTTTGGCCCCCTGCTGCTATATTCATCTTATCCTAACATGACCAAGTCCAGTCCTGGGCTCCTGATGATATGTAAACTCAGAGAGAGAGACAGGGGGAGGAGGAGGCAGTGTGACCAAGACAGGAAGCATGAGAAAGTAAGACAAAAAGCAGTTTGCCCTAAATCTGGCTGCTGGGCTGGACACCCGGGACATGGGTAATGAGTTTCAGGCCTTCATGAAATGATTGTCGTACCAGTGCGTCCGGGGGGGGTGATTCGTGGTGGGGAGAGAAGAGATCTTCTCTAGTGGCCAAAGACAGGGGGTTTACACAGGAACGATGATTTTGCACACAGATCCACAAACATGCTGTTAACAGTTATCATTTACTCACTTTGCAAGGTTTAATCTGGGATGGCTGCAGCTCTGAGGGGCTGATGAGAATTTCTGACTAAACCGTAGCACCACGGATTATTAGGCAGCATGCTATTTATCCAAAACGCATGTTCGGATCGCAGTTTATTACAGAACAGTAATATTTTGAAAGTGAGGTGCAGAGACCTCCAGACCTGTGCACAATTGCACCTGTGAGAGTCTGGGAATCTACTGCAGGGTAGAGGAGACACTCCCCCCTGCTACCCCCATCCCCCCCAGTCCATGGTTGCTCCCTAGTTCTTACCCACCCTGACACATGCCTAATCCTTGCTCCCATTATCTGCCGCCACTTTTTTTTTTTTTTTTGCAGCAAAGCAGAGGCTGATGGGAAATCATCTGGAATCGGTGCTGCCCCCTTTTAACACTGGGGGTCCAGCTTACTGACAGGGAAGGGCAAGAAAATGGACAGAAAAAAATTAACTGGATGAAGGTAAATCAAGATAATAATATATCAGTGATAATATATTCCTGGGTAGTAATATATTAAGTTTTTTTTTTTCTTAAAATTGCCAGCGTAATTTCATCTTATTTTGTGCCTCACATCAGCTCTGGTGTTTTCTCGGTGAACACTAGAGGCAGACAACACACCAGTTCACAGTTAAGCCACAGACAGCTTTGTTCTCAAGCGCAAGCTTCCATCGCAGCAAAACACTGATGGCAAGACATCAGAAATTAGCTTCATCTAATGTTAAGCTCCAGGAGACTTAACACTATCGACAGATGTGCCATGTGAAGCACTAGGGTTAAGCAGCATTATGTAAACACTTCTTAGAATATCATGTCAGGGTCAAATTGATCACATGGGTATATATTTTACTGTGATAATTATTGGAATGTTTAGTGAATATTTGTAAGGGAAATGCAGATACATTTTAACTTTTTGTAACTAAAGGATTTTAATATTTATCTCAATTTTTGTGACATATCTAAAAGAGTATGATAGTAGACACTCAAATAGCTAAATTAGAAGAAACAGCCAAGGTAATGAAATCACAAAGAATGGGGTAAATGAAGAATATACTGAGCAGGAAATTAGCAAAGATACACCATCTTCTTTGAGAGGCTGAGGCAGGAGCGAGGTGGGCAGTGTGGAGATTGCAGCAATGCAGCACCCAAATAAACCACAAAGAACAGACCCTCTAGGCTATTAAATAGCAAAGAAATGTTTGCGGTTTGCACAAAACATTGCATTTCTGCTTAAGGAACCATTGCTGGTCTCGCCCGCGCCGTCCTCTCTGTCTTCCTTTATCCCTCATGTTGACTGGAATGACATTAGATGCCAGCGCTTGTTTGTGCTCTAATGACAAGTAACAGGGGACCGCAGTCTCTATGGCAACAGCCGGGTCTCAATACATCATACCTCCTTACAGTAGTCAAGCGGGGACGTTTGGTCAAAAATTAATATATCAAGGGAGGCGAGCAAGAGGAAGCGTGTGTGTGTGTGTGTCTGTGGGGGGTGAAGAGTGTGGGGGATGGGGGGGGGGGTCGTCTAGCATTTGTATAACAGCAGTATCCTAAAATGCAAGAACAGTAGATGCCTTTCAGTGGTAAATGAACACTGAATGACTTTGGTGTGGTGTGCGTGCGAGGAGTAATAAAGCACTAGTGGTTTGACTGCCCCCCCTGCATTAGCTAGAAAGGTGTGTAGACTCTGGGGTCAGTCTGTCCCCATGTTCGAGTCGCGGCAGAGCAAGCAGCTGTTACCTTTTGGGTGAAACACGCTGGAGGCTTCAGGGAAGGCCATGGGAGTTACGACTATTGAGGGACAGGAACAATGGTGGAACAGAGAGGACAAACAAGCAGTAGTCATTCCCAGAATAACAGCACAGACTCAGTCTGGCCACAGGCAGCACGGATTTCACAGAAATCCGGACGGACGGAGGCACAGCATGCGAGAGGGATGATTTGTATGCTGCGAGCCTGTGATCTCCTGCCGATGGAGGGCATAGTTCAGCTCCGGCAAAAAAAAAAAAAGAAATCTCTAAATTATTTTCTCATTAGAACGTTATGTATCATAATAAGAATGTAATGAAAATATTGTAATAAAAATGAAAGATTTTCACATAAGATTATGTTAGTTATTACTAACACTCATTTTCTTCTGACACGGCTTTTCTTTCACAACTTTTATATTATAAAGGTTATATATGTATATAGATAGATGTGTAACCTTTTTAAGATAAAAATGTATATTACATATACAATACGCAATACATTATAAAATGTATAATGTATATACCACATACAATACAATACAGTATAAAATCATAAATTTTATAATATGTATGTTATCTTTAATATATATTATATACATATACACTCTATATTGTGGAATATTCCAGTCAGGCTGGGCCAGGCTAGGTGTACTGTGTTTCTATGTGGCGTTTCTCAAAGTGGGTTGTGTCAGGTTCTGCCCAGACGGGACCGACCCAGGCGGGTCCCTGGATGTCTGACAGGCAGGTGAATTAACGGTTTCTACTGCCTGGGCAACTCTGCGGGAGAACCGTGTTCTCCAGAGGACTGGAAATCCAGTCTGCTTTATATATAGTAACATTATTATTACAAAACTTTATATATCATTATCAATTTCCCAGTGCTTCGCGTGTCATTATGCGGGGACTTCGGAGCGGTCTACAGACATGCGTGTGTGGCGGATGGACCTCTGCTATTTTTAGATCACTGGGTTTTAGCCAGATCAGTTCCTGAGCTGAGGCTGCCTGACTCTGACGTCTCGTATTTGCATTTTCAGTTGTTTAGATGCTGTAAAGTGAGTGTTTATTTTATTTTTCTAATGATGCATGCCTTTCAGGACAGTCTAAGTTCATCTTCTTAAGCTATAAGCTTCCCTCGGTGCTGTTCCCAGAGTCGTGTCGACCCGAATCACCGAATGCCAGTCCTCTAATCCTTCCTTGCCAGTCAATTCTTTTTGGATCTGGGCACTCAGGTGCTTCAGGTGGCTGGAATGAGCAGACAAATAATAATAAAAAAAGCAATATTAATCATTCTACAGCATAACATAACGGTCCACTTTCCCTGTCAAGGAGACCTAATTCGCAAAGTAGTAGAATCCATGTCTGAAATCCCGTTACCTCCTGTCTGGGCCAAAAAGCGCTGCTCACAAGAATGACGCAGAAAATCTGTAAACAATTCTGCGTCACAAAAGACATTGTACAGTGGGCTTGTTCGAAATTGTTACTGCTCTGGAGGTGACAGTAATCTTTAATTTAAACAGAACAATGGCTTCAGAAGCCTCTGTCCCCCTCCTCCCCCCTAGACCTTCTCTTCCATGAGGTTGTTCTTCTCTCTGTGTAGCTCTACCATAAGACAATGGAGATATTTGATCTACTTTGTCGTGAAGGCCAACATGTCAAAACAAAAGTGGAGTCAGTCTGTGAAATCAAATAGAAATCTTGTTTGATATGATTTTCCAGGGGTCCCTGTTTGAAACCATTTCCTCTATATCTGTCAGCATGTCGTCTAACGATGGTATAGACACTTTGATTAATCCCGGTCTTTGAGAGTTAATTTTGATTCAAGGTGCTGGAACCAGCTGAAGCTCAGCAAAGTGAAGTGAGGGGGGGGGGAAAAAATGTGTGGCGCATATCTTAACCAATGACAGTGTTAAAGTGGGGAATCATGTGACAAAAAAAGGGCGGGGCGTGATGTTGCTGTTTCAAATCACTCAAAGGGGATGCGGCCATAGCTTTGAGCAAGATGCTGAAGTTGAATTGCTTTAGTAAAACACTGAGTAGTATAAAAGAGTGAACTGTAGAATTTAAAGACATATAAGTTGCTTCGAATAAAACTGAGAGTTAAGTTGGAAAATAGCATAGCATAATACCTACCCAGCAATAACACTGCAATACAGGAAATACCAAGGTAAATTCTCCTCTTACGTGTGGACACACATTTTATCCTGCTTTTTTTCCCCATCTACACTAAACCACAAAACAATAGTTTCCAGTGGGTTCAATTATTGATGTTAAATATCAACCTGGATTTCGTCTGGTGCCTGCTAATTAGATAGTAATT